AGCTCCCCGATCTTGCCACCGACGCGCGGCTTGCTACAAAAACTCCCGCCGTGTTTGTCGAGTCGGGCAAGCCGAAACAACGGACCGCAGGCTAGCTGGGTGTGCGAAGCACAGCCTTAGCCCACAGTCCTGGCAGAGTCCCAGTGGGAGGAGGAGAAGGGGGGAGGGAGAAGGAGGATGTGAGGAAGAGGGGGAGGACAGATGGGAGCGATGGAGGGGTTGGAAGGCTGCTCAATCCTGGGAGACGGGGTCGAGAGCCCGACGGTGACCCTAAGAGCCGACGGTTCCATATCACGGCGCGCCACCATATTCACTTACCCGCGAGGCATTTTGCGGCGGCCGCAACATTGGCCATCCAGCTGTGTTTTGGACCCCGTGCTCTGGGCGAGGCGGAGGTCTGAGCACCCTCCACTTCCCATCCTCCTACAGGAGGTGGGTGGGGCGGGGAAGAAGAAATGTTTTGGACGGGAAAAGGCGGTGTCCGCGGTGCCGCTTCTGCACCCGCACGGGTAACGAGTGGAGGGACGCAAGTACTCGCCACCTGAGGGGTCTGTGCCCCAGCAAGGATCGCCACCTTCGGGGTGGCAGGGGATGAAGCTTGCTCCCCCGCAGGGCGGATCGCCGACCAGTAACTCGGCGGGAAAGTCTGCAACATTGCATCCCAAAGTAACACCAACCTTGGAGGTTGTGATGGTGACCTGCTCCGTCGCAGGGCGAATCGCCACCTATGAAGGGTGACGTGAGGGACCTACACCACAGCAGGGATTGTCACCTTCGTGGTGACAGAGGGCGGGGATTGCTCGCTAGCCGGACGGGTCGCATCAGGGGTGGACGGGGTCAATAGCCGCTGCCCTAAGGCAGGGGTGCGGGTGGGTCGAATTGCTTTGGGCTTGTTGATCCAGCTGAATCAGCCGATCTCGGCTACATGATGCACTTGCAATGCGCAGCGGTCCGTAGCTAGATACCGTGGGATGCCCATACCTACGGGGAGCGCAAGGGCGATGGGGCGGGTGGGTTGAACTGCCCCGGGCACGTTGATCCAATGGGACTAACCGGCCCCAGCTGAGGTCGCAGAAGTCCGTAGCTGGAGACCGTAGGCTGCCCGTACCTACGGGGAAAGCATACCTTCGGGGAGAACTAAGGAGGAGGGGGCGGGTGGGTTGAGCTGCCCTGGGCTTGATTGGTGCCTCTTCCGCAGAGCAACTTGTCGAAGCACCTGGGGCCCGGCTGGCGCCCATCATGCATGAGCAGGCCGACTTAAGCTTCTGTCGCTCCGACCCCCACTCCCTTGCCCTCGTGGTCGGCGTGCTCATCGGACCCCTGAGGGGGCCCCTAAAGGCTGCCCCGTGCGTCCCCGACCACCTCGAAAACCAGGGAGGCTGTGGGGTCTTCGGCACGGGAAGGGGAGGAGGAGGAGGGGGAGGAGAAGAAAGAGGAGGAGGACGAGGAGGAGGAGGGGCACGCAGGAATTAGTAAGGAGGAGGAGGATGAGGAGGAGGAGGACGAAGGAACAAAGAGGAGAAGGGGGAGGAGGAGGAGGGGGAGGAGAAGGCAGGGGAGAGTAGCAGGACGAGGATGAGGAGAATAATGTAAAGGAGGGCACAAAAAAGGGAACAGGACAAACGAGAAGGAGGAACAATGTGAGGAGCAGGGGGATCGAGGGAGAAACACCGACAAGGAGCGAGGAGGAAAAGAAGGAGAAGGAGGAACGGGAGGAGGAATAGGAGGAGGAAGAACACTATTCATGTGCATGCGCGCCTGATGCGTTTCCGACAAGACGTGCGGATTCATGCGTTTTAATGCGAGCTCCGCTCGCTTCGTGAAATTTGAATACGAAGGAGCACGCAAGGTCGACACGCTGTCGAAGGCTACGCTCGATACGAAAACAACTAAAAACATGTTGGTGGCCAACCAAGGATATGCATGCCTGTGTAAAGGGTATCTTGTATACCTTGCTGACACCGACATCCAAGTTATCGATGCGCAGCTGAATGTCACAACTTCACGCAAGCAAGTCAATACAACAGGGTTTGGCACGCGTCGTGATCTTCAAAGTATGGTACTCTAACGAGGCAGTTCCCTCAATGGAAATGAACCGCTATACGGGGCGTGCGGAAAAGGGATCTTGGAGGGAGGGTAGATCCCAACATCGTTGATGACTCTGGTGTTTCCACAGGCCCTCCTTTTCCTCCTCTTCCCCCTCCTCCTCCATTTCCTCCCCCTCGTCCTTTTAGAGCGACGGACGGTCTGTCCACCGAAGCCACCCCCCATCGCCGAAAAACTCTCCACGCCCAGCTCCAGCAACGACCCAAACCAGGAAGCAGCGCAGGCTGGCCGGCGAGCTCCTCGGCCAGCGCGGCGCCGGCCGCGCGCGCGCGCTCCTGGCCAAGCGCGCTGCGCAGCGGGCGCGCCGTCAAGACGTGAAGCGCGACGTTCAGCTCAGCGCCCCAGCGCCGGGCGAGCGCCCCGGCCGCGGCCTCAGCAGCAGCGTCGTCGCCGAGCTGCTGTGCCCGGTCGCGCGCCAACTGCCGCATGTGGCGCAGCGCTGCTGGCCCGTGCCGGCCGCCAGTCTGTAGCGCCAGGGGGAGGACTGGCAAAGTGGCCCGGCCTCCCTCCTCCCCCCCCCTCCTCCGATTCCTCCTCCATCCTCCCCCTCTTGGAGTACGACGGCTTCCCCAGCCCTGCGTTATACTGCATGGTCCTCCACATCCCTGATCAGGGCAACTCGCCTGAGCATCGTTTCTGGATGGGCTGGCGGGGGTACTTTTAGTCAGCGGCCCCGGGCGAGCGCGCCGGCGGCGAGTCAGGTCAAAGCGGGCTACGCAGCGACGAACTAGGCGAAAGCAGCGGCAACAGGCCACGCCTAACGCGGCGAACCGAGGCCCCACGCGGCAACCCAGCGGCGGACCGGCGGGTGGCAAGGGCAACTGAGACTGAGTCGAACTGCCAGCGTGCAAGTATGCATGGCGTCGAAAGCACGAGGAAGTCGGGACAAACGACGACCGGGGTCGGATGCCTAGGAATTAATGCATGGGCCCGATACCCGGACAACTGCGTGAGCACCAGGGTGGCCGCAGCCAAAGGACCGCCGGTCGAGCGAATTGACTGCTGCAAGGGCGAGGCCCCCGACGACTGCGTGAGCGTGAGTACCAGGGTGTCCCGAAGGACCGTCGGTCAAAGAATTAAAGCCAGGAGTCGGGAGCGTTGGCAGGCTGCAACTCCCAGGGTGGCCGTAGCCGAGAGGTCCCGAGGCAGCAGAACGCACGAGTGCGGGAAGCAGCGGAGCTGCGACGCAGCCAAAATGGCGCGGGTCACCACAAACGAGTGCGTGAAGTGGCGCCAGGTTGGCCCAACACGGGCCATGTATCGGGCCACGAGCTCGGAGCTGACACGCAAAGTGACGACGGGCGGCGGGCACCACGGGAAAGGCCCAAGCCTGAGTCCAGGGAGCCAGTCACACACTGGTGGGGTTACTTTTTTTGATTCGCAGCCCGCAAGGAAAAGTCCAGAGGGCGGTAAGAACGAGGCTGGGACAAAGCGCGCGGGAAAGCATATAATTAACGGCGCAGCACAAGTGCCAGCCCAGAAGCAGCTGAGCATGTGCCAGCAGCAGAGACTGGTGGGGTTACGCGAAGCGTCTAGAATAACACGCTGCGCCTCCCGTTTACACGTGCACCCAAATTCACACACCTTTTGTTATAGAAGTATGTGATGAGCTATCCACTACGTTCAACCTCCACTGCAACAATTCCCAAATGTACTGCTCTCCCGACTTGTTTGAAAGGTTTTACAGGGACTCGACTATTGAGAGCGGACACCGCCGCGACGATGCAACTAAGTCAGGCAGATGTGCGAGCACAGCCGACACCTGTTATGGCGTGCAGCCAGATCAGTAAGGGGACGGATGGTGAAACAGAGGGAGAAGAAGAGGCCCTCCCGCCTTTTACCCCCTCCCGTCCAGGCCGAGGGTGCACGGGGGCCTGGGATTATTGGGGCTATCTTGGAGCGGTGTGACGGCCCTCTTTGGCTATTGGGGTCCTCCTGGACTGTCTGGAGCCTCCTCCAGAGGGCCCTCTGTTGGGCCATTTTGAACCCATCTTGGGCCCCCCTTGGAGCCGTCTTGAGCGCCCATTCGGCCATCTTGGGGTGATCTGGGCGAACCTCCTCACATTCCTGAAGCCTCCTCCTGCCCCCTTCCACCAGCCCCCAGGCCGAGGGTGCGGGGAACGCGTGGATGGTTCTACCTGCCACTTCAAACATAGCAGATCATTCGGCTGGGTCCCAGCCGCGGGATGCGTTCGACCTTGGACGGCCAAACTGGGGTTGCCGCTGCGTCAACGGGGAGCGAACCTAACGTAGCTAAGAAAACGGAATGAGCAGAAACGTTCGGAGGTCCGCGTGGAGTTGTTGCACTGGCCCTGGACCACCCCACCATGGCGTCCGGAGAGCGCTGGGGGGCGGCGTCCGAACCTCCGCCAGAGGATCCCGCGCCGATCCAGGAATTCCGTGCGGCCCTCCAGAAGTGTTTGTTTGTGCCCCTTCTTGTTCTTCGAGTAGCTGGGCCGAGGGTGCGCGCAGGCCTGGGTGGAGCTACTGACTCTCCTGAAGAGCGCGAGGCTGCTGTAACTAGTTCGTGGGTCAGCCGACGCGGATCTGCCAAATGCAGGCCAAGCCCTCGCTAAGCGTGAACACCAGGGCACAAGTGGGTGGCGGCAGCGAGGCATGGCGCGACGAGCAGGCCAACTGCGCCACCGCGTGCCCGGAAGGCTGTCGCACTGCAACCCATCGAACCGGCGCAATGACGCAGAACCCCGACGCCGTGGGCCCGCTGTTTGACGGTCCCAGGGGCGGGGCATTCCTCCTGGGCCGCTGTTTGACGGTCCCAGGGGCAGGCGAGGGTCGCCAGAGGCCGAAGGTGGCCGAAAGCCCTGCGTTGTGGCCTCTTCCCGCAGCGGGGGGAGGCCGGGGGGAGGAGGGCGCAGGAGGAGGCCAGGAGGCGCCTGGGTGAAGCTGCTGACGTTCTTGAAGGGGTGGAAGGCGGCCACGACGGGGTCGTTGCACGTCTGCCAGTCCTGCCGGAAGGCGGCGCGCCGCTCGTGCGCTCCGCCGGGCCGGGCCTCGGGGAGCAGGGAGGGGGGGGGGGCATGGGCCAGCGGGGAGGGAGGCGGAAAGGCAGACCCTGACCCCCACCACGACGGAGGGCCTCTGGCCGATCTCGGCCCATAAGATGTCAAGGATACGGGGGGAACTGGCTCGGGGGGGGGGACCTTTTGAATCGGCGATACATCGCCGATAGATCGGCGATCGGCCCTCTATTGCGAATCCGCACGTGCACGAGCGGGGCGGCCTATCGGGCCCCTATCGGCGATGATTGGGCGATTGGGGGTCGGTGCACTCCCCCCGAACGTGGCCCCTGAGAGGGGAAAAGGCAGCGAGGAGATGGCACTGTCCGAGCTGGATCGAAATCGCGAACTCGGATCGGATCGGGCCGCCAGCGGATCGTCTCGCATCGAATGGGAATCATGGCTTGAACAAGCGAATCGAGGAACACCACCAGCAGCAGGAGCACTTCTAGCCCGAGCCGCCGATGCTTATGAATCTCCGAACCTGACTCTCGGATTTGCCTCTTGGGCCGCCAGGGATTCTGGTTTGGGTGAGTGGATCGCTTCTTCGTCTCGAGCCTCTTGGTGTGGTCATTGTTGTTGTTGTTGTTGCTTGAGCTCTGTGCATTTCTCGACTGCACCGCTTATGAAACGGGTGGCAAACTCTTGCAACTGGGCACACAACTGGTCACGTCGCTTTTTGATAGTTGTCCACTCCTCGGCTGGCACTTCTGTATCATCGACACTGCAGAAGCAGACCGCATCAATAAGGTCCATGAAACCGTTGTCCCTTCCACCACAGCATTGATGCACAACTTCTAGGGGAAGCGGTAACGGTCGTCGGCCTGAACGCCTCCCGTGAGCTGAATTACAAGACGATTTGATGTGGTGCCGGCACTCTCCAACTTCGCATAAAACTCCTGCACTATGTTGCTTTGCCAGGTATACCAATGGGAGTAGGGCCCAACTTCTGCAACTCACTTTCGAATGTCTTCTCGAGCACAGCAACTTGAGGTCCGTTAGATAACTTGGTCTGCACAATGGACTCGACAATGTTGCGGAGGCCCCCAAGCTCTTTCCTGCACCGAGCTGCAACCGAGATGTCGCCCGCCTTGTCGGCCGACGTGATGAGGGGCTGGAGACCTGATTCCGTAAAGCCTGGATCCTGTTCTGCTCCGTCGGAACTTTTGCCACCAGCGTCTGCACCGCCAGCAGCATCACGAAGAGCAGGACGACGAGAGCGACGGCGCCTCTGTCTTCCATTCTCCACAGTGCTTGCAGGCGTCCCAACCATTCTGATCTCCTTTGCAACCACACGATACGCAGCACCACCTCTTGGGTTGGTCAGACTGGACTGGGGTCGCTGGCGTGCCCACGGCGCCGGAGGAAGAGAGGGGAGGATGAGGAAGAGGGAGGAGGAGGAGCACAGATAAGAAGAGGAGGATGGCGAGGAAGGCGCAGTAGGAAGTAGAGGGGAGGGGGAGGGGGAGGGAGGGGAGGAAGAGGAGGAGGAGGAGGAGGAGGCAACGACGAAGACGAAGACAACCCGCGACTCGCGTGCGGCGTGTCCTCCAGTGGGTCGCATTCCGGAGCGTCACACGTGTTTGCAAAGTTGTTCAGTTGTTGTTTTGTCGTGTCTTTCCCCACACGCGTGGTTTGGCCTTGTGGATGGCCGTGGCCACATCGTGGGCGCATCGAAGTGGCAGGGAGTTCTGGGTTTTCGCCTGGTGAAGGCTGACTGCACCACATCGCGTGCACCACATGGCTTGCACCGCATAGATTGCACAATATAGCTTGCATTACAGGAATTGCACCACGTCGACTGCGCCAACCATCTTGCACCGCATAGCTTGCACCACACATCCTGCACCGCACATGTTGCGCAACATAGCTGCACCACATTGCTTACACCACATAGCTGCACCACCTTGCTTGAATCACCGAGCTTGCCCCACATAACCTACACAACACATAATGCACCATATAGCTTACATCGCAAACACCACACGGCTTCCAACAGGCAATGCCTATTGCATAGAATGACCCTGTGGCACCATATATAAATATATACACACAGATAACAATATATGTACACACGTATGTCCTGACAACGTATACATCTACATAGATGTATGTATGAAAACACACACATGCTATCCCCAGCCAGTGTTTACACTTAGGCGTTCTTACTTCTATTCTCAGAAACTGGGCCTGACGGCTGGTCTGGCGGCTATGTAGTAGCTGTCGCCGAACCGTCGCCGTCTCATCGCCGCCCGTCGTCTGGGCCTGTCCGCCGTCTGGCGGGTATGTATCCCCGTCGCCGCCCCGTCGTCGCCTCGACGCCGCCCGCCGTCTGGGCCTGAAGGCCAATCTGGCGGGTAAATAGTCGCCGTCGCCACTTCGTAGTCGCCTCGACGCCGCCCATGGCTTGGGCATGACAGCCGATTTGGCGGATATGTGGCCACCGTCGCCGCCCCATCGACGCCTCATCTCCACCTCGTCGCCACGCAAAACATTAAGTCTCCTGTTTTAAAAAAAGAAATTGTGATCGACCTCCCCCACCCCGCACGGACTCAACGGGCAACTTGTTTCGCATGCGCTTGAAATACTATTCCGCCCCACCGCCCGTCCTAAACATGACATCGTACCATCCCAAGCAAGCTGGTACCGCCCCCCCTCATTCTCTGCAACAAAAACTATGCGCGCATACTCTTGTATTAAAAACCATCGGTTTCCAATCATACCTTACAGAACAACAAGCAGAAATGCGCACGCGCACGTCGTCGCGCGCGCATGGAAAAAACTCGTTATTCACATGCATGTGCATTTGCACATATGTCGGCGGTGCTCCGCGGCACGAACCCCCCCCACACTACTACGTGGGGGATTCGTGCAGGCCGCACCGGGTGCCGCCGACGGCTCACCCCCCCCCCTGTCCCTTTACTGGGAGGTTTCGTGCAGGCTGCATTGGGGGTTTCGACCTGGACCCCCCCCTGTGGCAGTGGGGGGGTGGGAGTGGGGGGTGGGGGTGGGGCGGGGGTGCGGATGGGGCGGGGGGACGAGGAGGAGGAGGAGAAGGAGGAGGAGGAAGACGAGGAGGAAGACGAGGAGGACGAGGAGGAGGAGAGGAGGAGGAGGAGGAGAAGGAAAAACTGGCAGCGCTGTTGTCGACATTGCTGGGCACGTGGCGACAGGAGGCAGCTGCGACCCCTGGGTGGGCCACCTGCCCCGGACGACGTTCCGAGCCTCCCGAGGGGGGGGGTCGACGGAACGGCCGCGTACAGAAAAACGGTGTCCCCTTGTTCTGGCACGTCATGGGGGCGGTCACGGGAAGAGTTCGTGCATACCGGGGGGTTTCATGCATACTGAAGGGGTTCGTACTTACCGGGTGGGTTCGTGCCGGCTACCGGGGGGGCCGTGCTTACCGGGGGGGTTCGTGCCGGCTCGCACCGGCGGTGCCGCTGGCTCGAACCCGCCAACATGGAGTTTACGGGGGGGGTCGCTCCGCCCCGGGCACCGCCGACATAGATGTATGTATATATGTATGTAAATACATGAGGTGCCGTCCAAATACGAATAATACACATATATATATATATTATTCAGCCAGGGATGACCGTCTCAAGATACCACCAAATTTACTGTACAGGTGTGCACACATGCGGCGCTAACCACAAGAAGAAAAATCACGACGAGACGCGGCCTATAACTCGTCCGTCGGCCCGTCGAGCAGGAGCCGTGGCAATATGATGGTTGCGGCCTGCCCGCTGGGCGTCGCGACGCAATTCGCGATCAACCAAGTCAAGTTGCTGAACAGTACGATCACTGAGGCGAGCGCAGTGAGCGAGCACAAACGTTCAACACTTAGGCCGACGTGTGTCGGATAAGTGAGACACGAGGCGAAGGCGCGAGACAAAATCCGTGCCACAGCATGGGCACCTGGATCCAGACACATAGAAGCGCAATTCATTCCGCTTCTCGGGCGCGACCAAACCGACCCCTACCAAACCATGCCCTTTTTTCATAGAAGGCGGAAGTGCGCAAACACAGGGGGCGAATGAGATCCTTCCTGAGAGCGTCGCTCTCGCAAGACCGGGTCGCGGCCCCAGGGGCATGCGGAGAGACAACAAAATCGAGACGTTTTGGAAACCACTACACCAGTCAAGCGCTTCGGGGACGAACATAAACGAAAGCACCAGCGCGGGCAGAAGTCGCGACGACGGGCCGGCAGAAAGAACGACGCAAGATAAGGAGCACGGCCCAAGGACAGTCATCGGGGAACGTCAACGGCGCATGAAATTCCACGCGCTGCCTTCGAATGGCGTGACCAACGGTGGCCGGCCAGAGCGACGCGTCTGCGCTGGCACGGGCGTTTATCATTCAAAACATCACGCCTCGGCCCTGCGCTGCGTAGCGCAACTCTTTCATGATGCGAATCAGAGCTCCGAGGTGCGCACGTGATGTCGGTGAGCCGAAACGCGCACTGAACCTGGGCGGCTAGGAAAAAACGCAACCACCCCCAAAACGAACATATCCCAACGAAGCAGTCGCATGCTTTGCGCGCGGTGAAGTACGACCGCCAGGGTTTGAACAGTCTTGCAACATACCTGGCAAACCTTGAACGATTTCTCAAAAGTGATCGGCGCACTCACGACACCAGAATTACAAATAAATCGTTTCGCTACTTCGGGAATTTGACAAAGGAACACCACGCCTTTTGTATATGGACGAGCAAGTGAAACGTCACCCACCCTGACGTACGCATGCGCCTGCAGGGATGGCGAATCGAGCCAACGATGGCCCAAAGAGACGGTCCTCCTGTGGAGGGGTTTTGACAGCGCGTGCCCGCTACATATCAGGAGCCTCGAAAGCGCACAAACAGACATATCATAGGATCCACGCTTGGCTCTATCACAGAGCGCCCATGTCTGCGTTGGCAAGTATGGATCCGGTGCCGAGCCAGGCGCATG